AACTGCAAAAGCAAATTAATTCATTTTATATGGGAGATTTTAATTATCATATTGACTGGCAAAGACAGGTTGGCGGTTGGCGAAAAGCCACAAGATAACGAATTTATGAAAGATAACCACCTTATTCAAGTGGCAGATAAAACAACTCGAAGCAAAAATATCCCAGATCATGGGTAACGAGAAATGTTCAAAGCAAGAGAAAAGCTAAAAACAAGGCTTGGAAAAAATTTCAGCTTTATAGGAAACACTCATTAGATAAACCTGAAAGTGAGGATATAAACTCAAACAATTACTTGAAAATTACAAAACCCGAAGAAATGAATTTGTGAGTATATGAACGTAAAAAATATATAGACTTTTGAAGAAAACCTGGCGGAAAAATAAAAACAAACAGCAATTGTTTATATATTTATATAAGAAACAAACAAAATCGGAAAGATAGAGTGGGCCCGCAAAGAAATGAAAAATATTATAGTGAAGACCGAAGCTGAAACCACGGAGCTGATGAACAATTATTTCGGTTCTGTTTTCACGCATGAAAAAAAATATCAATAGCTAAATGTAACTTTAACCGGAACATCTTTAGTAGAGAGTTCAGAATTACAGAATGTTGAAGTTGTATTTGAACATGGACAAATGAAGGAGAACAGGAATTAATGGGCTTCATCCAAAATTCTTAAAGGAAGTCAGAATAGAAATAAGTCAGAATTTGATAACCATATACAACAATTTTTTTTCATCTGAAAAGATACCATTCAACTGGAAGGGTACATTAGTAGTACCTTTATACAAGAAAGGAGATCAAAGTGAATCGTGCAATTACAGACCAGCCAGCTTAACAAGCATTGTATGTAAAGTACTACAAAAATAATCAAAAGCCGGATCATAGAACACTTATCAAAAAATAATATAATTGGTAAAAGTCAACACGGTTTCATAAACAAAAGATCATGCCTAACAAATTTGCTGGATTCCCATTACTAAATTATACATTTTAATGCTAAAAAGATTGACTGCTACATAAGAAAGAGTCTAATAAATTACAACAAGCTTGAAACACCATACCAGCGTTATATTAAAAGAATTCAAACTGTTTTGCTCATTCAATAATATGATTATAATAATATGATAATTTTTCGGTCCATTCAAGATTACTATATATCAAAAACGTTTAACTTCGATGACCAAATAAAACATTTTTATACTCTGGAGTTTGAGTACTATTTGATTATAGTAAAATACCAGTACCTTAAATTACTATAACAGCGCACATCCCAAATAATATAGAAATATAATTATTAGTTCATAATGACAATTCTTCGTGACTAAAAACTAAAGAAAATAAATATTCCTGTCTAAAAACTGTTTTACTGACTTTTAACAACAACACTGCTAACAACTGGGGGGCAATAATTTTTAATTATCAGTTTTTAACTTTCAAACATTTGCAATCATTTGCTCTAGGGTTTCTATTTATAACTTCGAAATGTAATTTTGAATTAACACTTATACGTACAAATTTATGTTTTATCAACGTTACAATAGAACTAACTTAGTGACATCCTGTTCGAAGTGGTACAGACTATTGCAGATCATTTCGAACGCATATAAGAAAGCGCTTCCCTCAAAAGCCAACAAGATTTCAACGTTGGGTTTCGACAAACATTCTTCTTTTGCTAAAAATTTTTTTTTCCAATTTCGTATTTTAGAGTTTATGAAAAAAATTAGTAAAATTTATCAAAAAAGGCAAAGAGCTAACTTTTATTTTCTGCTATGCTCAGAGCTGCTAGCATGATGAAGGAGAGGAGAAGTATGACCTTGCACAGACCAGTGAACATCATCTTCATTGTGGACGTCAACTTTTTTAACAACAAATAAGTATGTAAGAATTTCAAATCAACGAATGAACAATCGGATCAACAGCATCGGTATATATATACATTTTCATATGCACAAAGTCGCATAACCAATCAAGGTCATTTATCAAGAAACGGTTTTTAAACTTTCTAAATTAATTCGACGTTGGAAATAATTATTTAATGGCTGTTAGCTATTAATGAGTAATTAGATTTTACTATTATTTTCTACTTTTTAACTACTTAATTGGCGGATACTGGGAGCTTTCTAGATAAATTAATAAAATGTCCAAAATAAATAATTGCGAATAACGTATGAATAACAGTTCCAGTGAATGAATGAAAGAATGAATGAAAGAAAAAAAGAATAAAAAGAAAAAGAAAGAAATAATAAATGAATGAATGAATGAATGAATGAACGAACGAACGAACGAACGAACGAATGAATGAATGAAGGAATGAATTATAATTTCATTTTTTGCGTTTATTTAATTGTTTTCAATTTCATTTAATTTTATTTCATTACGATTTAAACACAATTTTTCAAATGTATCATATTGAATTTAAAATCGCAAATGTTGTCAATATGTAAACCATACTTCTTAATCAACAAATAAAATAATTGATTCATAGAATATTATTATTCGCTTAACGTTTGTTGATTATTTGCCACTTGAGAATTATTAACTGTTCATAATTTGTGTTTTGATTTGTTCATTGAAACGATTTTAATTTCTATTTTTCCATTTCTCATTTAATTCATCTGTTTAACTGATTTTCATTGAATTTATCTTTCATTTCAGGATTTATTTAACGCATCAGTACTTCTCAGAACTAAATTGCGACAACAATTCATAGCGTGATTTCAGATGAATGTGCTTCAACCAAATTGGCCATCAGCACAATTTTGAAAATGAAAAATAGAATGATCCGGGAACAAACACTTTTTAATTTGATGTTTGAGTACTAGGAATGTGGAGAAAAAATTGTATAATTTAAAATTATTAATAATTTTGTTCTTTTATTTTTGACAATCATAATTTAGAGCTTACAATTTTTTATGATGAAAAAAATAAACTTAGAAAATTTTTAATCAGTAAAAGAAACAAAGTACCAAAATTTGACACTTCACTATAGTACACAACTTTTTTGTTCAGTGATAAATTTTTACTTAGATTGCAGTTTCATCTCATGACGTGGTTCATTTAAAGACGCAAGTTAATAATAAATTTCAAAACGTTAATGTGTAATAAATATGTTTCTACGGTGCTTAAGGTGACAACTGAATCAAATCAGGGTTCTCTATAACATTAAATATTCACTATGAATTAAGTTGTTGTTAATTTTAGTGGGAAGTTAGTATTAAAGTTGGCAGTATCTCCAAATGTAATATGTGTATTCACTTGCACATAACCTACAACCACCAAAGGGATTCGTACGTTTGTCCTGTGCAATGTACTGCAATTATTTGAAAGCCACAAATTGATCCATCCAGAAAGTTCATCAATATATGTGCAGTTCGTTGCATTGTTTGTTGCCAGCACGTATGAGATAAATACGTGTATGTTCTGCAAATTGATACAGGTGCTTGTGTATTTCAATCTTTTTACAACAAAATATTCCTATTTGAAAAATGAATAATTTCAAAAAATCTGTTATTGTTTATTTATTTTGAAAATTTGAACAGAATTATTCGGCAACATGTCCAAAGAAATAAATTGTCACTCGAATGTTTGTTGCACAGCGATTATTATTAACTTTTTAATTTTGAATATTGTTCCAGCTGTTGAGCTTAGTAATTTTGAAATTTGTTACAATCATAATAGCTTTTGTTTGAAAATTCACCAAATTAACTCTTCTGAGATGAAGAAAATATTTTCAACTTCTAATAATGTTTGTCCGGCCGGTAAGAAACTGTTGGAGATACGTCGGGAGGAGGAACAGACTGCTTTGGATAATTTTCTGATGTTGTCGAGTGGGAAAAATTACGTGAAACCAGACGTGAAAATCCCTCTTTACCTTTCCGTAACATTTCTTTCTGACTGGCGATCTGCCTTTACTGGTTTGCATTGAAATTTATCGAAAAATTATCAATGCTCTTTTTTAAAATTGAGACTTGGTAAAGACTCAACTTCATTTTTTTATTCATTAGACTTATTGGAAAAAGAAGTACAGACAGTTTTGAAAAGCCTGAACCCTGTAGATAATTATGTCTACATTAATATTTTAAGAAGTAAAAGCTTGAACGATCCATCTTCGAGTTACAGTTACACTCTGCAGTCAGACGGGATGGGCAGTAGAAAGTTATTTTTCGTCTGTCACTTGCCAAGTAACTGACAACCACTTAATGCGTGTAACAAATAATTTTTCGGAATAAAATTATAAACTTATAAACTTAATTCAAAATATTGTTTTAACAGCACATTTTCAAACGAATTGTAAAACATGTCAACTTTTAAAAAATTAAATTAAATTCATAAAGATTTTTTTTACAACTCAGCTAGACAGCATAAAGTTCTAAACGTAAATTTTCAAACACAACAGCCGAATGTGAATCAGTACATAGGTCAGAACTTCCAACATCACCTTCACTCCAACCAGCAAACACAACACTGAACACTCCATACCGCACGTGCCTCATTAAAGTCACCACAAAACTTGACCGCTTCGAGGCAGCCAACTACTGCTTCAAACACTTCAACGCTTCTTTGTTGGCGTTCGATATGAAAGTTTTTTGTAAGGTGGTGATGGAATTTTTGTTCCTACAGCCAGCATCACCACCTTCGGTTGATCAAAACAAACCTCCTCTTCTGCCCTCACCATCTTGGTGGCTTCTCAATTCGAAGTTTCAGCTTCTTTGGTCCGGCCAACGTATGTTTAAATCGATTTATTTGAATGCAAGCATGCATATCACTAATTTTTTGTTCATTCACCTTTGCTTCTAACTTTACACTACGGTTATATTATGCATAGTCAGTTCATTATCAAATCATCAATGCAGCGTTATCGTTACCATCACTTACATACGGTTGTCACGGATGTTTTAAACAACATTCAAAAACAATTGAAAGCAACAATATTCATTTATTCAACACAAAAAAACATTCAAACTTTTATTTACCCAAACACAAGATGATCTAGACAATTTCAACGAAACGACTCTGATCTTTCTAAGCTATTATGTCGTATCATATCATATTACATTGTATCATATTATATCTGTTATATCATTTTCGTCTTCATATCATATCATTATCTTCGGCATCATCGCCATCATCACCAACACTAGGCAATGCAGTATTCACGAATTGGGCACCGAACGAACCGAAGCCCGCGTCGAAATATGCCTACATTCAAAAATCACCCAACGAAAAGTTGTTTAGGTGGCACACAACTGAAAACTTGCAATGTCTTGGTTCGCCATCTGACATTCAAAACAATATAAATAATAATAATTATAATAATATCAATAATAATAATAACAATAACAATAATATAATTTATAATAAAAGTGACGGATATAATAATAATGATGATGATGATGATGACGATGGCAAGATAAGCAATCTAGGAGACAAGGAACATAGCGACAAGGATCATGATTGTAATAGGCCTAATGGAGGCAAAGATGGCGATAACGATGAGATGACAATCATTTGCATGAGTGATACAGGTTGTTTGGTTTTATAAATTTTTTTATAAATTTAATTGGTTGCTACTGAAGATTGAATGATTTATTAATTTAGCCAAAAATGTTTTAAAGGATTTATATAAAAGAAATAAACGCTTTGTTATCATTAGTTTGGAGAAAAGTATTTGAATAAGATTTATATAAAAATAACCAACAGTTTATTAATAACATACCTATGAAAAAATTGTTTTTACAAATTTAACTTTATTCAGATAATGTCAGCTTTGCTTTTGGAACTCCAAGTGAAAATTTATTCAAACATTCGTTTTAATAATTTAAAATTGCGCAAATATTCTTTATAGTACCTTGTTAAATAATTTCAAATTGGTATTCAGAGATTGAAGGATCGTTTAGTTTCATAATCTCGGTAGTGAGTGTAGTTATTGCCATCTTCCTGACCGCCATCATTATCCTCGCTTTTTGGAAGTGCTGCTCAAAGTAAGATCGCATTGCTATATATCGTTGAATTTAACGTTACAAATGATTGCAAGTGCCATGAAGAAATATTTTAACAAAAAACATTTCGTTCAAAATAGTAGCTTGGATAGTTTCATTTGCATAATTAGCAACAAAACATTTTAATTATTAGGATTAGGCTTAAGCAGACCAAAACCAGTGGGTCAGAAAACAGTTATCGAACACAAACCGGCACCATGTTCCCAGTTAGTCGCGATGATCAACCCAACAAATCCTTCCCCGACTCAAACGCCGAACCAAACAAAGTGGCAAAATGTTTCTACCTACCTACCTACGAAACACCACTATCAGTTATAAGAGTAGAGAACGTTTATGAAAGTTTGGGCGATCCACAACAGCCTACTTATCTCGAACTCTACGATGATTGAATGGTTTCATTTCCTACTTGTTTTATTGCTTGAATAATTTGACATTTTTCATGGTGTACATCACAACAAACTTGAGCAATTAATACTTGTTTCATTGAAACAGTAAAAGTTTAGCGAACCATAATTGTATCATTCTCAACGGTTTTGAATTTTCACTTTGAAAAATAAGTTTCAGGACGACGAAACGGAACAACTTTTATGTTTATAAACACTCATATGTAGTAAACAAAATTTACCGAATTTTTATCTGTAACTTAACAATTAATAATTCCGATTTTCGTTACGTTAACCGTTCATTAACATGTATACATCATATTTGCTAGTATATAAATGTAATTCGATATTACAATGCACTCGCCACTATACACATTGAAGACAATTCAAATTTTATCAGGTGAGTTTCATATCAAAATTTTTATTGACATAGGAGACCAACTTTTATATGAAAAAATCAAACATCATTTTCATTACATCAGTGATATTAACAAACAAAACATCAACTTTAATAATGAAAAAATAAGGAAAAAAGTAACGAAATACAAGACATCAAAGACACGAATACTTATTTGACACTATCTAATGACAATGACATAATTTTAGCTCAACGAAAAACTGTTGTGTAAAATTAACTTAGCGCGTCTTAACAATTTTACACATACGTAAGCACGTATACATACACACATGCATATATACACACGCACACAATAATGTACGAATTCCACCGAATTGTTAGCATTAACCAATTTAAATTTTTCTAACTAGAATTGCCTGAAAATTGTTTAATTTAATAGAAATATAATTATCATCCATTATATCCGTGATCCAAACTCATCTCGCAGATATAGACCCATTTAAATTTGTCACAAACCATCTTCAGTGCAGCTTGCTCTTGTACAAGGGCGTTGAATTTAGACTTTGGGTGAAGTGAGGTCTTATTTGGAATGTTTGGTATTCTGTGCTGTCTTAAAGTCAAGTGTTCAATTTTTGCATTGTGACCAGTTTCACTAAGGAGCACAAATTGAGCAGATTTTTTATTATTGTTCTGCTTCTTTAAAATATGATCGTTTAACCCAACATTTGAAAATTCTTTGTCTCTCATACACATACATACAAAATGTTTATATATGCACATAAATGTAAGTACAGGTACACATGTATGTATAAGTGTTTAGCAGCAATAATGTTAATAAAAAATTTACGTCTGTTCATTTTTATTCATATACATGTTTATCTTTAGGCTTCTTCTTCATTCCCTTCAGCTTCATCCTGGTAATTTTTAATGTTTAATTAAATGTTTGGAACATGTTTAACATGTTTAGCACATTTATTTTTAATTGTAGTGAAGTGAGTTAATGCTTATTTACTTATTTAACTTACTTACTAGTTTATATTAATTGCACACTTAGTTATGATATAAATTAAAATATCAATTGATCTCACAAAGTTAATTGATAAATTACAATTTGATTAAAAAAAGCTATTGTAAATAAGTTGAAAGGTCATTCTTGATTACAGTGTTTGTTTGCTTCAAAGATATCAACACACACACACACACACACACACACACACACACACACACACACACACACACACACAAACACGCACGCAGGAAAACCAAGAAACCACAAATCACACACTGCGTTATAAGCAGAGGTCTCAATGCAATCAAACCAGGTCACTGCAGAACAGGACCAGGTGCCTCTAAGTATTATGACGCAGACACAGGGGAGTCTGATCAACCAGTACTCAAATTTTAAGTTTTCAAACTAAAACCCACATCATCATCATTATCACCACCAGCATCTTCATCCTCATCATCACCGCCCAAATCTTCATCAACCTCAGATGCCTGATAAAAATAAATGAATAGAAATTCTTTTTAAATTTCCACAGAATAATTTTAAAAATAGAACCTGTCTACAGAAAAAATATGAATGCACAATGAAATTAACTTGAGATTAAAGACAATTCAATGGGGAACTAACACCACAGAACTCTTTAATTAGCAACTGAACTACAGCACTTAAACATAATAGAGTATTTTTTAAGGATATATGATTGATCTGACAAGCGATTCTAACAAACCAGATAATATTGAAGTGGGTTTGGCCAGATGTCGTCCTTGATAACCTCTCCTAACTCATCTGACCCAGCATCCGTATGGTCAAGGAACCAACTGAAGAACGATTCCTGCTGTTCGCTGTGAGACCTTTTCCTTCCCGAAGAACTGCGGACCTTAGTGAGATCCTGAAGTAGTTTTAAAAATTATTCATTGAGAGATAACAAATTGTTTTTATCTAAATGAAAAATATACATCAAATTTCAGAGAATGTAAAAAAATGAAATAATTTCTAGCTAAACAAAAAAATTAAAAACTTTTATATCAAACCTTATTCTCTTTCCACACAATTGGTGTTGATTTTGATGAAGGATCACCGGTCTCAGTTAAATGAAACTCTTTCGATATAATTTTATTTTCAAAATACTGATTTTCAGCGAAATGCTAGAAAGAAAAACAAGAAAAATTTACCAAAATTATAGGTTTATCAATAAAAAATTGTATTATTTTTACAAATGAAACAAAATTATAAAACTCTTACAAAATTGATTTTGTATCCTGATTTGACATCTTCAAATTCTTGGACCTCAACTTTGGTCAGCGACTGGAGGGCCTCCTCGTCCTCCTCATTCAACAAGGCTGAAACTTGGGGATGATTTACAAACGCAGTTACCCAGAAGTTAGAAATTTTGGCAATCATTTCAGATCGCCGTTGGTAGTGAGGCTGTCGTAGTTTGTTGTATTTCTGTTCAACTTTCAGTATCTCATCACTGCACTGCTCATTTAACCTGTCAATATCATTCTGAACTTCGTCGATTTTTTCTATGGCATCTTGTTGATGAATAAACTTTTCACCTTCTTAATTAGTGATAAGGAGACAATAGATTAGTAATTAGTAGAGATACAACGGCGTTAGTTCCCATGTGCATAAATTATTTTAAAAAATGTTAAAAACAGCATGCACGCACCTGACTGGTGACGATGAGTTAAAACAAATCGATTTTATCAAAAAGTGGATACAAATTATTTGAAAATAAATAAAAACGAAATAATACCGGCTTCTTCGTCCAGAGCATCATTTTTAGTTTTCGATGATTTCGCAATTTTAGGAGCACTAGCCATATTAGCGTAATTTACAAAAATTCTAATGGAACGCTTTGCGCATGCGCGGATATAAAAAAACTCTATTGACAAGCGCTCTCCAATGAATGAGTATTTTTTTTGAATTTGTACAGTTACACTTTACTTTTTATGTATTAAGTTAAGTTTGTAAAGACAATTAAACGAAAACATTGGAAACAAGATGTTTATAATGATAAAATTTAATATAAATTTGTTTATAAAACGTGTTTTATTCAAATTTTTCAAATTTGAAAGCTCTTTTGAACAGGATTTAATAAACTTTATTCGCTCTCTCTCTCTCTCTCTCTCTCTCTCTCTCTCTCTCTCATATATATGTTGGTAATAGACCATAATTTTTACAATATTCTATAAATTCTACCAAATGTTTGGCGTTAATATGTTTGTTAATCATAAAAAACACACACAG